CAAATGTGTAAGCAAACATCTTGAAGAGTCAAAAATATGACCATCTTTAAGATGCTTACGTATAATAATAATTCAAAAGAAGAAATATATGTCACTTGCAAATACAAAAAAATAAATAAAAATTTGTCATTTGGGTTTCATTAAAAAACTAGCTTTCGCCCGCGACTACGTCCGCGCGGAATTAAAAAAAACAAGAGTGAGCAGCCTATGTGTTCTTCCAGACTATCCTCTACATCTATGCCAAATTTCATCGAGATCCGTTCAGCCTTTTAGGCTGCAAACTCTAACAAACATCCATCCATCAATCTAAACTTTCGCATTTATAATATTAGCAAGAAGTAAGATGGTTTTCAAATTAAATTCCTGACTCTTCAATTACCATTATTTTATTCCAACAAGTCTATAGAATCAGTGACGTTTATAATTTTAGGATAGAAATGGCTCATGAGCGTGTTTAATCTATCTTATATTATAATAAAGCGTAAACAAACACTTCTTTGTTGCTTAAGATGTCAGCAATCACAGGATATTTTTGAATAGTCCTCTTTTTAATAAAAAGCCCTACACCTAGGTCACGCTTTAGGCTATATATTTTCAGGCCATTAAACTTAGGGGATAAATATTTTGGATAAAAACCCTAATGTGGGAAAGTGACCATAAGTTGCTGCCAACATCAAGGAAGCAAGATTGCCAAGTATTATCATGTCATGTCATTTTGACATTTACAATTGACAATTTGATACAAGTAAACAATAAAATAATTTTATGCTAATGAAATCGGGAACAGCTAGTACTAATATAATAAAGCGTAAACACATTACTTCGTGGCGTAGGATGTCAGCAATCACAGTATATTTTTGAATAATTCTTTCTTTTATAAAAAGCATTACACTTACGACGCGCTTTAGGCTATATATGTTCACGCCATTTATTATAGGAGGTGTAGAAAGGGACAAAAACTACAAATCTATAAGTAATATTTACATCGTAATGGTAATTATTAGCCAATAGAAAAAGCTTTCGTTGTGTTTTGAGCATTTGAATTGTGACATTTGTAATGAAGTTTTAGGAAATGTACACAAAAAAATAATATTTTTAATATGCGGATGAAGCCGCACGGGAACATCTAGTCAACTCTAATCTTATGCTGGGTTGCTGAATTCCATTTATTTTATCATCACCTAAAATTTAACGGAGTAACTCTAGTTACGTAGTTCGGAAACATAATTCATAGAACCGAAACATTAACGAATGGTTGATAGCTGGAAAACCGGGTTTAAATTAAACGACACTGAGTGCGGTAACAATTACTTATACTTACGTATTATTAGTGACCGTAGTAATTGTGAGATTCTCCAAGGCCGGTAGTTTATCTTTGACAGGTGGTTTGACAGTCTTGACTTTGACAGTTTTGACAGCTGGCTTAACTTTGTTCTTTATTGACGCGTTACGTCGCAAACAACTCCTGTCTGAAGACTCGTTTGATGTCGGCTGAGATTTAGAACGAGGACGAGGGGCTCTTGTCTTTTTACTGAAATAAATGTTTTATCAAGTTTAAAACTAAGTACACATCTATACTTTATACCAATATAAGAAAGGGTAAACACACACTACTTCGTGGCGTAAGTTTTTTTTTATATTACAAGGTGGCAAAC